TAGAGTCTGTTATATTCATGGATCCCAATTTCGCACAATAAACTCTAGAGAGGAAAAGATGAAAGGAAAACAAGCATAAACCAGCAAATAACTTTACTTCCCCAAACACCTATCTAAGGGACAAAAAAGAGATGGTTGAAGTCAAGGCAAAAGTATAAGACAGTAAGTAATTGCAATAGTCTCATGACAATTTATGTATAACAATCCAATAAAGCCATTCATGTTGTGTGTTGTTGTGTTACCTCTAAACTAAATGCTCAAGTGAAGCTACTGTTAACTCAAACTGTATTCCTTCCATGTGGCCAGTCTAGAGCCAAACAATCCAGTGGAAGGAGACAGGTGAGGAACTGCCAAGAAAGGACCAAAAGGTATTGTGGAATAAATTGGGAAAGGTATTTGGAAGGGAGTTCCTGACCAAGTAAGGAGGCTATGGGAAATACTAGCTAGCAGGCTGGCTGGCTGAGAACAGGAGATGGAGAAGCTAAGATATGAGGTAACGGAGGGTTAAATATGAAAAGAAGAGCAGAAAGGAAGAGAAGAAAATGCACTCTGCTTGTCTGAAAGGTATAGTGATTTTGCACTTGTAATGCTGAAATGTGGTCTGGCAAAGGGGAAGCAAGGCAGTTTTGGGATGCTGGGCTATATTAATTCATTTTGGTACAAGAAAGTATACCACAACAGGGCCCCAATTCTACTATATTAATAAGAGGCTGTGCCAAAGCAAGATCCTTTGCCAAGATAAATCTGAAGGCTTTTTACCTCTAAGCACATCATGTCCACTGATAAGGATGTATATTCAATGAAGCTCCAGGCAAATAGAGTAGCCAAGTTAATATTACCTGTCTCTCAAAAGATGAGAGCAGAGAAGAATGGAAACATTCAGGGGGGAAAATGACAGAGATATTGAACTGCATTTGCCTAAGTATATTTTATATTTAACCAACAAATAACTTTACTCCTCCGAACACCTATCTCCACGTAGAGAAGTTTTTCATAAAACAAAATTGTTGATTGAAACTGTGGCCACAGTTGAAGCTCTGAGAACATGTAATAGGTACTATTGCAAAATGCCTGCCAGGCGGGTACGGTTAACCACAAAAGAGACCAAGACAAGCCAACCACCAATACAGATCATCTGATTACAACACTAGTATTGCTTCTGCCTTCTGTAAGCATTGTTATAAGTACCTGATCACTTACTAGCACTTTATGATAATGTAGAGTTATGTTATTTGTTTTAAGATTGTATGTAATTGGTTAAGGTAAAGGTAAAGGTTCCCTTGCTCGAAAGCCAGTCGAATCCAACTCTAGGTTTGCGGTGCTCATCTCCGTTTCAAAGCCAAAGAGCCAGCGCTGTCCGAAGACGTTTCCGTGGTCATGTGGCCGGCATGACTAAACACCAAGGTGCACGGAATGCTGTTACCTTCCCACTGTAGCGGTACCTATTTATCTACTTGCAATTCCTTGCTTTCGAACTGCTAGGTTGGCAGGAGCTGGAACTAGAGACGGGAGCTCACTCCATCATGCGTCACACTCGGGTCTCGAACTGCTGAACTACCAACCTTCCAGAGCCTGCAGTTCAGCGTCTTAACCACTTGAGCCACCGCAGCTCCATGTAATTGGTTACCTATATGTTTAATCTCTTTGTAAGCCACCCTGAGCCTGCACTGGTGGGGAGGGCGGGGTATAAATTGAATAAATAAATAAATAAGGTTATTCACGAACTCTTTCGTTTCTCAACAGTTTTCTGCACTACATCCACAAGCATTTTTTCTCCTTGTCCTCTTCTTCCATTGCTTTCTCAGCTCCTTCTAGCATGAGCTGTGCCATGTTGAATCCCACAATATCCGTCACCTCTACTTTCATTGTCTCATGTTTTAAGAAGTTAATTATGTTTCTATACTTTGCGGAATATTTCACTTTTATTCTTAGGAACAAAGTCCTTAAAGTACTTCATAACTAAACTGAAAACAATCTGTCTTCTCACTGGGAAGTCATCATGTTTCCCCAAAAATGTAGTAATGAAAACGGAAAAACACAAACTGCATTCACAAAAATCAAAGAAATACTGCCTTTACTGACCAGGTTTTTTTTAAAAAAAACTGACAAATTACTGACCAAGATGAAAAAACTGACTTTTTACTTATTTTACTGACCATTTCCCACCCCTGCAACTGATAATGAAGCTCAACACATCCTCCTGGGCTGTACTGAGACCAAGGTTTCTTCTCTCATTACTAATTGCTGCTATTGTTATTTGGGATCTGAAATCACTTCAGTCTCCAAGATATAAGGACAGATGGACTCACATTCTAGCCGTTTCTGAACAAGTGAGCAGTGACTCATGAAAACTGTGTTGATATTTTCATTTGTTAGAATTGGAAACAGGAATCTCTTCAAGTGAAATAATGTGCTGCCAGACTGGACATCCACTCACTGATAGTGATGATAATAAAAAATTTAAAAAGCGGGGGGGGGGTGTTTAATGTGAAGAAAGGCAACCAGTGAGGTGGGAGGGGACAGAGGGAGACCATGTGTTGAACTGGATTATATGGAACCATAAATGTATTTTTAAATACTTAGCCATCTACTTCCAGTCATTCAACCATGGAAGCCAATCCAAGTGTTGTAATCCCTAATCAGGGTCTTTTTGAAAGAAAATAAAATTCCAAATTGGCACAGAAAAAGCTAATCTTAAAAAAAAACAAAACACCTTTCAGAATAAGTCAAAATAATTTCCCTTTAATTCCCCTTATCCTATATGCATCTCTTTCCTGCCCTCCTTCCTTTTTTAGCGTGTTGTGTGTGTGTAAGCAGGTCAAGTAAACAGCAGAGCAGGGCTTGTCAGAAGAATCTCCCCCCCCCCCCCAAAATCATACATGCACAGGAAGTTTATGCCTAAAATAAAACTTAGTTGGTCTTAAAGGACTCCCTCTCTTTCTTGTGCGCTCTCTCTCTCTCCTTCCCCCTCCCTCCCTCCCTCTCTCTCTCTCCAAATGAGGGAAGAGAGGTTTAGCAACACAGCAGCAGCCCCAGAAGAGGAAGCAGGAGAGAGCATTGAGGGAGCTTTTATCTGGTGTGCATGCTCTCTTGTTTTCCTCCCCCCTCACTTTCTCCCCAGAAGAGAAGAGAGGCTTAGAAACACAGCAGCAGCCCCTGAAGAGGAAGTAGGTGAGAGCGGAGGGAGCTTTGCTTTGGTGTGAACATGTGCACTCTCTTTTTCCTTCTCCCTCACTTCCACCCTAAAGAAGTTCTTGTGGGTCGGATTCTAGCCCTGCAGGGGCTGGATGCGGCCTGCAGGCTGTATGCTTGACACCCCTGCCCTAGACACTTAGATGGCGTGCATGAAACATGCAAGTTGCATTACCAGACTTCAGATTTCTATGCAGCAACAACATGCCTAATGGTAAAGAAACATATCACAACTATTCCAGAATTCTCACTTGATCACTAAGGTCACTTGCAAATGAACTACCAAGTACTTCACAGGTCCCTAGACCTAGTTTTACCAATCTTATGCATACAATTTTCTACACGAGCAAACCTAACATATACAAATGCATTTATAGCATTCAAAATTTAATATCCATGGTTGAAATCTTTCAACCTTATCAAAGCACTAAGAATAGTTAGGTGTTAAATGGTGACTAGTAGGAATAAAGGAATACTTAAAATAAAGAACCAAGAGGTTAGGTAAGTGGCCACATGAATAAATGAAGGAATCAGCCTACCATTACAACACACTAAGTCATAAGCACTTATCGACAGACTTAATTGGCTTATGTATTGGCAAAAGGATGTTGGCCAAAACACCTTAAATATGTGTAAAATCAGCACCTATTATTTTCATGCAAAATGCTCTGTGAATTTCCTACAGTTCTAAGAACCACACAAGGAGCCTGTAGGACTCACACCCAACCAACACATCAAGCCAAAGGTCAGCATCACATATTGTAGTTCACCAGTTGCTGGACTGTTAAGTCGTGCGCTTAACAAAGAAGTCGGAGAGTGATTCAGCAAGAATGCGGTTTATTCTTCAGCTCTGTTACTTCTCCGGACACGGTACAACGATCGCCAGCCAGAACCCATCATTCGAAAAACTCATACACTGGCTGCTCTATATTTAAACATTCCCGGCTAATGTAGCCACACCCACTGTACAGTAAGCAACCTATGAGGTTGAAGCAATAACAACCAATCACAAGCGATCCCGCTCTGCACGGTGATTGGCAGACACTTTCTGGGCTAGGGCTCCTATTGGTTACACTAGGATCCTAGCCCAGGATGAAGCTCAACATGGCATCTCAATCAGGCGATTCACACATCAGTATTTACAATCAAGTCTCAATGGCACAGTTCACATAGTAGTTATATACAATGCAATACATAACATGGACAACCTATTTGTTAATATTATTAGCCTTATTGATTTGGAACTAAGAGCAGACTCAAGTGGAATTATCTATATACCATTAGATGGACACATACAGAGAACTGGGTGTTTAAAAAGCACCACAAAGTCAAGATCTCCTTGCATTAAGACTGTTAGTGCATCTGAAAGAAGAATATGCTATGCAAAACCTCCTGTTCACATTCTAGGTATTACTGTATAGTCAGAGAACAAGCAGTCCTGCATTCATATCTGAGGCAGTGCGCTCTCGAGAAGACTGTAAATTGGTCCTGTTCTTGGCCTCAATTGTCCCCCCTTTCCCCCCCCAAAAAATCAGTTTTTGAGGCAAGTGAACATGGGGACCTCAGCGCAGTAAAGGATGGAATACTTCCATTACACATTAGTTTTTCTAAAAGTGCAAACAGTTTGACATGTGAAGTATCATCGCAGCCAAATGGCAGAGGTTTGGCAAAATCTTAACATAGCAGATATACCACAGCTCAGTGTTGTAGACCCCTGTAACTTGGTGGTTCTCCAAATAACCTACCTACTTCAAATTTACAGATCTAAACACTGGCTTCTGTGAAAACCATGAAGCGCAATATCTTACCTGAAGCATCACAGTCACTGTCATCATTACTCTCAGAGTTTTCATATTTCACTTCACTGTTAGCTTCCTGTACATAGTCTTCAGGAGGAGGAGTCACCGTGTACATTTTTCTTGGAGGCAGAATCAAGCCCTTTTTGTCTAGAAGATAATAAAAGACTATTGAAACTAAATTACATATCATGTATGTTTGTGATCCAGGATTAGATCTGTATTTTTAAAAATGTATTTTTAAAAAATTAATATTAGAAGCAGCTGGGAGGTGGATTTGGACTGCAGACATGATGCTGATTATGGGGTGTTTAACCCCTTTCCCCCATACTTTTTACTAGAGATGTGAAGGCCCGGAAAAAAAACGGAAAAATTCGGGAAAAACCGTTTTTTCCCCGGGTTTTTTCCTGAAGCCTTTTTTGTTTTTTACAAAAAATTGGAAAAATTGAAAAAAGAAAAGAAAAAAATTGATTATGGAACATTTTATTTTAACATGATGAATAAAATATTTTAAGACAAGGTGTTCAAATATTTTCCAAATCATTTCTAATATATATATATGGTGTCAGATTGATCTAATTTCTGTGCACTGAGGACAAGCAAGTCCTAGGTTACAAACTGAACTCTCCAATGCAAGAACAAGATGCATTTCTTCCTTTAGGAGGTGCTATTGTACGAGAAAAGAAAAAGGTTTCAGTTTTGTTTTTGCATGTGGGCGGGTATTCTGTTTGTAATAACTGTTTGGATACACTATATTTTTAATATGCTAGTTGTGATAATTTCATGCCAAGTAAAAATGTCCATAGTCATATTTTATGTTCCTAAAGTAACAGAATGACTTTTAATCTAGAAAAGACAAAAAAATGCTAATGTAGCATTTTTTTTCAATTTTTCCAAAAATGTCCGTTTTCCCTCGGAAAAAAACTGGGGAAAAAACGGGGTTTTTTCCGCGCTTCAAAATTTCCGGAAATTTTACATCTCTACTTTTTACCCAATAAACATTCCCTTCGCCCAACATTTAGTGGGCCTGGAGTGGATCTACCACATAAGATGTAGTACTGTCCTCAACTGTACAGTTCAGTTGACCAGTTATTCCCTTTGCTGAACTAAAAGGTACCAACTACCAAAGGAGGGAAAACAATGTTGAACAAACAGAACCTAGCTACTGACAGTCTATGTTTCAAGTTATTTAACTGTATTCCATATTAATAAAATCTGATTTCATAAATTATAAAAGAAAAGGAACTAGAGTTTTCCAGTTACCAATGCCATTGCATCCATTGGCTAAACTGAATAAAAGGGAGAAGAAGGTTTTTATTGAGCAACAGCATAGAATATTGTGTCCATGTTTTGCCCCAATATATTCACAAATAAAAAGGTTAAAATACTTTCATTTAAATTAAGAACGCTGACCATTCAGAAGAGGGGGCTTCATCATCCCTGAGAGGGCCAGGCCTACACAGAACCATTTGTGGCTCTGATCTTCATTCTTCGATATAAATGTATCACCTGACAATGCTGCATTGAACTTCACCAAGAATGTTGATTTCCTCCAGTTACAAACATACTAGGAGTGAAAGTAAAACTCTTTCTCCATTATTTTCAAAACAGAAAATTGCCAGGGTACCTGGCTGCAGGTTCTAATGCTACTATAGTACATTTGGATTAAGACTGTCTTTGCAGAGCTGATGCACTGATGTACACATTAATGAACTGTCAAGCTGTTGTTTTTTAACGCAATCACAAGGTTAAAGACTCCTTGCATGGGCAGAAGTTAGTGAATCAAGAAAAAGGGCATGCTTCTGGCATCTGATAAAGTGGACTCTGACTCAGGAGAGATGGTAGCTGGATGGTTGCAGCAGAGCCAGCTGAAGCTGAATCCAATGAAGAAGGAGTTCCTGCACCTGAGTTGTGGGGGACTGGGGTCTGGGATCAGTAGGGCTGCCAAGTAAGGGCGGGGGGCAAGTAAACCCCCGCTTTTGAGGCCCGATTTCCGCTGCCGCGGAATCAGGCCTCGGGGGAACTCCGCTCCCCGAAGCGCAGCGTGGCTGCGTCACCAGAGGTGACGCAATCACGTCAATCATGTTGGGGGCGTGGCCCTGATCGTCGGAGGGAAAACTCTATGGTTTTCCCTCCGACGATCGGGGCCACGCCCTCAACGTGATCCATGTTACACGTCACTTCTGGTGACATGCTGGTGGCGCGCGTGCACGCGCACTTACAGATCCAGGGACGGCTCCCACAGCCCGGCAAGGATCCCCCGCCAGTAAGTACTTTATACTTGGCAACCCTAGGGATCAGGCTCCCTGTCTTTGGAGGGGCAACACTGGTGCCAGTGCCTTGGGTAAGGAGTCTCGGGGTGATGCTGGATCCCTCACGTACTATGGAGGCCCAGGTCACTTCGGCTGCCAGATTGGCCTTTTACCACCTCTGGCTAAACAGGCAGTTGGTTCCCTATCTCACCCCTCGGGAGTTAGCTACAGTGATCCACGCAAATGATTGGGTTACAGGTTGGATTACTGTAACTTGCTCTATGCAGGGCTACCCTTGGGCCTGATTTAGAAATGGCAGCTAGTGCACAATGCAGCGGCATGCTTGCTGATGATGTCTTCACGGGTATGTATTCATCCGCTGTTGAACCAACTGCACTGGCTGCCGATCAAATACCAGATCCGGTTCAAGCTTATGGTCTTAACCTTTAGAGCTCTATGTGGCCTGGGAGTATCATACCTATGGGACTGCCTCTCCCCATATGAGCCCTGGAGAGCTTTACACTCTTCTGATCAACATCTCCTGGTGATCCCCAATCCAAGGGACATCCGCTTTGCCTCAACCAGGGCAAGGGCTTCTTTGGTCCTTGCCACACCCTGGTGGAACATGATCCCACCCGAGACCAGGGCCCTACGGGACTCATTACATTCCGCAGGGCCTGTAAAATGAAGCTGTTCCACCAGGCTTTTGGTTGAGGTGGCGGTCGTTCAACCATTCTTGCCTCCTCTGTTTATGGCTCCTTCCCAGTGCCTTGCTGTTTTAAATAATACTACTGGGCACTGGAGTTTTTTTGGGTACCTATATTCACCTGATATGAGGCATGAGGGTTTGTTATTGTTTATTGTGCCATCTATTGTTTTATTGATTTTTATTGTTTTTTATGTTTTATGGACTTTATGTAGTAAGCCGCCCTGAGCCTACTCGTGGGATAGGACAAGGTATAAACTATATAACAACAACAAAAATAACTTTTGTTAGCCTTTAAGTTGCCAAAAGACTCTCTCATTAGGGCTGCAGTACATTCATTACAGCTGGCTCTCGGGCATTTTCCAACCTACATTTGTACAGAAACCAATATATCTGCACAGTTATACTAAAAAGTCAAGACCCGCTTCTGTCAATAGGAGCACATGAACTCCAGTCCAGCTAGAAGGTACTCCTAGTTTTCCCTGCAGCTTTGTTAAACTAATGGAGGGAACACTTCTGGAAAAAATTACCAACTGTTAACATATAAGGTCCCGGTCACACGGGCCGGAAAATGCAGGGTGGTGGTGGGGGAACATAGCTGTTTGCCCCGGAGCACAGTAATGTGCAGCAGCCCGATCAAATGTCCCGTGGAGGTCCCGTGGGTATGTCGTTAGGTGCCGATCACACGGCTATCCAGCAGCGCGGCAAAGAAGCGTCATGGCACGATCACACTGGCAATCACTAGGCGCCAATTCCGTGGCAAATGGGAATTTTTTCCCCTCACCACAGTGTGTGCATGTGCTGGTGGGCGTTTGTGCACATCCTGTGGAGACTTAAAATAAACAACAACACACATCCGGTTTGCGACGGGACATGGGCGGACATCGGATGCCATGGGATTCCAGTGGAAACGTGATCAGACGCCCGCCCTTGCCCCACGTTTTCCGGAAACTAGCACATTGTATGTACTAGTTTTTTACTCCATATCTTCGGCAAGAAGCCACAGGTTAGCCACGGGTGCACTACGCTTCCCAGATGTTGCGGTGTGATTGCGCCCGGAAAATCCGCCTATCATCCATATCTTTAGCACGGAAAATGCTTCATGTGAACGAGGCCTAAATATGGCATAAATTAGTAAAAACAGAAATCCTCTTATTTTCACCTTGTGGAGTAGAGGAAAAAACACGTGCAAAACACCAGTTTTACAGTACACTCCTGGAAAGCCTGTTAAGAGCCTTAACATGGCCATGCTTGCCAAAACGCACTCACACAATTATGCAGAAGATATTGAAATACACAGCTGTTGAGAAATGTAAGAACTGTCTATTCGCACAATAATTGCTTTGATCAAGAATTCTCACTGGTCATCTGCTCATCAACCTCCCCTGCACACACAAAAAACCTGCTGGTCCCATAAAACATCCCTCTCAAAAATCTCTACAGGAAATTTCAAAAGTTTGGGCATGGCTTATTTTGTTCAGTAGAAGAAACAAGGATACTTCCAATTTTTTTTACAATATCAAAACATGATTTTCTTGCTACTTTGTCCCAGAATACTTTAAGACCCTATTTAAAATTCTTCAGAAGTTCAGAAGAGGGGGAAATTCAATAAAATGCAAACTGTTTAGTCATGCGATCTGAAAGCAGACATAAGCCAAAATTAATTGAAACTATTCAGTAACTTCATTTCCCTAAATTCATGCTAAACTCCTCAAACTGCCAGGTCTTGGGGCTGATTTCTTCTATCACTGTTGATTAATAATGAAATGTTAATCAAATGCTAGCATTAATAAGAAGCAAATGTGAAATCTCGTAAGGGGGTTAGACTCTATTGGGACAGTAATGTGTGCTCTTAAAAATACAGAATTGTTAAACACACTGAAGTTTCCTAAAGACATTCTCATTCAAAAACAAAAAAGCAATTTGAAAAAAGAAAATTCTGTTCAAAACTTAGAATAGCTTCTCCTGACTTCTGCCAGGTAAGGTTTGCTCTTTTTAAATTGAAACTAGAGGTTCATCTCCCTTTTGTTGTTGTTGTTCAGTCGCACAGTCGAGTCTGATTCTTCACGACCCCATGGACCACATCACGCCAGGCCCCCCTGTCCTCCGTTGTCCTCCGGAGTTTGCTCAACTCCATGTTTGTTGCATCGATAACACTGTCTAACCATCTAATCCTTTGCCTTCCCCTTCTT